TTCCTTCATTTATATAAGAAGGGACAAAATTTCTTCAGCCTAATGTAAAAACCTACCTGTTCTCTGTGATATGCAAGAAGACATTTTTGATCATTTGTCTACTGGCTTTGTGAAACTCTGGAGCCATCCTTATCTCTATGCACATTACAGCTCAAAACAAAACAAAAAGAGAGAGAGAGCAGCTCGTTATAAAATAAGCCATTATAAGTCCCACAAGAAAGAAACTATTCCAGGGTTTTACGGGATAGTAACTGTCTTTAAGAGCCGTACATTTTTTCCTGGATGGTTACAAATGATCCAGAAAGAGATTTTAACAGTGCTTTTCTCTTTCCTTTTTTTAAAAAACAAAACCATTATTTTAAGCTTTTGAATCTGCAACAATGATGCTCTCTAAGCATTAGGCAAAATATAAACTGGTCTGTTGAGTATTTTTAAAAATATAAGCAACAAAGCAAGACAAATGTAAAAATGCAGAACAAAAAAGCAAGAACAAAAAACAAAGCAAATGCAAAGAAAGAAAAAGCAAATCCAAAAGATGTACATCATCTCCTTTAACTTCCACCACTGTCAACATTCCAGCTGTTTCTTATCCACTGAATTAGGCTGCAGTTCTAAACATGCTTCTTTGGAATGAAGCTTCACTAGGCTATGTTATATAATTCTTGGATATTTTTTTTAAATAGCATACAGTATTAGGAGTTCACTGCAATCTGGATTCATTAGGGAAAACAAATAATCAACAACTTTGTTACTTTATAGTGAGGCTGCTATCGTGACAGCAAAGGTTAAATTTGTATATATTCCTGGTACTTTTCAAGCCACCTTCTTTAACCTATCAGCCCTACGCATGCAGCAATCAGAAAAACTTTAAAATTCAAAACTGATGGAAAAAAACAAATAGTTTACTAAAATGAACTAAGATACATTTTCTTAGTAAAAGATTTAAGTAATTCCAAAATAGCTTTCCATAGGTCATCAATGGCACTGGTCATTATATCTAGAACCCCCAGTATCATAGGCAACAAAAGTAAAGGCTAATTTAAAGCCTAATTGGGGAAACATGTACAGCAGAGTCAGGAGCTTAGTTAGTAATTGGCAAATGCAACTTTTTTGCCTGAAATTGAGATCACATCTTAATTGGGGGTTTATTGTACTTTGTGTGCCATTTGCTATGGCTTCTCAATGGAAAATAGTTGCTGTTTTCCATGTTTCCTGAAAGCATCTCAGAGGACTTGTGTGACACAAAATTAGCTCCTCTCCTGTCTGGCATGTCTTCTGTTCAAGATCTGGGATGGACAATGTTTCAGAAGCCACAGGGACACAACTCAGCTGCCTCACTTTCTGGAGAGCTATAAAGGCCATCTGGCAATGAAGTGAAGTAGTGCACTGTCGGTTTTTTGGGTGTGTGTGTGTGTTTATTTTGTGGCTTTTTAGATGGGATAAGGGTATGCAAGAAGGCTGCCTCAAAGAAGCAAACAATTCTGTTACCACCCTTAAATCCTGAAAGATCCAAAATTGTGCCACTACAATTCATCAACTAAATGGTTGAAATTTAATGATGTGGCCTTGGGCGATTTATGCAGTCTACTACCTTCCCACCCAGTTCTAGGCTGTTCACGAGTGCAGAAATGTCATATTTTTATACAAACAGGTTCCACTGATAATGAACAGGCCGGGGTATTCCTGATTCAGTTGACATTTTCTTATTGATGAAAGCATATTTTCCAAAAACGTATTTCTCCCTCAGATCATATGAACCTTTGTTCCTTTATTTCATGATGCCCTACCAATCTCATCAGCCAGCCCTGAAATTCCTTTGCTTATTCAGTGAGCTGTTGTACACAAATGACACCCTACAAAGTGAGAAATGTTCTAGTGAATTACCTAAAGCGAGAGCCAAAAGTAAATCCCCCCCCAACAGATCTCTCACTTACATGCTCTCACTTCATCCCACAAGAAACTGAAACCCCACATAAGTATTGTCACATAATGTTTTGTTTTAGAAAGCAAATGCTATTTTCCCTGTTTTCCAAAGATTTGACCATCCAATCACACATGTACCTAATTGCTTTTACAGTGGATATTTCTTAACAAATGAATTGCTAAGACTCATACTGATCAATTAAAAAAGCAGACATATTTAAAAAGAAGCTGTACTGCTAATGAGTGTACACCTAAAATAAAGCCCGCATGTAACAATACTAACAACAATCACAAAAGGATTTTATTTTATTGAAATTTTTCCAAGCTATATAGCCACCGACTTAATTTAACAATTGGACTTAAAAAAATAACTGCAACTTGGGATAAATCAAATGGTTTTGATTGGATTTCTCCTTGCAATTTTTTCTTTACTTAAGAATTCTAAGGATGTAAACATATGCATAATATTGTGATGTTTCTTACCCTTCCTCTTGGTCAAACCTTATTAACAAAATCAGGACTTTTCATATGGATCTAAGCAATCAGTACTAGTATTACTATACAGTATATACAAACTCTTCCCAGGTCAGCCTATAAAGATTCATGAATTTTATCTATGCCGCCAGTTTATAGTACAATCTACCTAAAATAGCAATAGCATTTAGGCTTATATACTGCCCCATACTGTTGTATAGCACTCTCTGGGTGGTTTAAAGTAAGCGTTATAAGCAAGCCCCTTATATTCTGTTTTTCAACCACTCCACTCTAATCTGCTCTGTTGCCCTTTTTTCTTGAAACTGTCCCCAGAATATATTCTCTGATACTCGTTTCCCTTTTGTGATGCCATACATTAGGATTGAGCAACTTGTGTTCTGTTTAAAAGTAACAGTTCCCACCAAAATCATTTGTTGGAAGTTGCATCATATGTCAAGGCAAACACCAAAGGGAATAGTACTGCTTGTGCTCTCTCAGATCTTTTTTTTCTCACTTCTCTCTTAACACTCTTTTCATTCTTTTCCTCCTCTTAACCATAGCACACTGCAAATAGCTGGTGCCAGAAGTCTGCTTTCATCCCTAGCAGAGGGCTTCTGAAAAAAGCCAAAGGTTCCAGCGGGCCCAGTCAGCCTTAGCAGTAATAATATTGTCCTGTCAAATGAGTGGAAGAGGACACCTGCTATTGCTGATTTCTTTTTGACCATTCTTACTTTCTGTTCTCCAATCCCATTCCTAATGCAAGAGAAGCAATCATCCAGCAAATCAGAATTACATTTAATCGGAATGGAAAGGTGGACCGTTTTTCTCATTTATTATCTTTAGCAGCTGGCAAGTGATAGGCTTTAATTAGACTCATAGCAAGAGAGGATAAACTTTTCCTTTCTCTAGTGTTGGCATATAAACTTCCAATATTTTTCAAAGTTAGCATTCCTCTATTTCCCTCAGACTCAATTACATATCATCGTCAACTTATGACCACAACTGAGCCCCAAATTTCTGTTGCTAAGTGAATGTTGTCCCATTTTATGAATTTTCTTGACACAGTTGTTAAGTGAATCACTGCAATTGTTAAGTTAGTAGCACAGTTGTTCAGTGAATCTAGTTTCCCCATTGACTTTGCTTGTCATTACAAAAGGAGATCACCTGGGCCCAGGACACTGCAACCGTCATAAATATGAGTCAGTTGCCAACTTTCTGAATTTTGATCACATGATCATGGGGATAGCACTGAAAAAAGTGACTTACGACTGTTTTTCACACAACCATTGCAGCATCATGGGGATGCTGCAATGGTTGTGTGAAAAACGGTCATAAGTCACTTTTTTCAGTGCTATTTAAATGATCACTAAATAAATTGTTGTAAGTTGAGGACTACCTCTCCTTAGAATTTTGAAAATTGCTCTGAATCACTAGCAGGAAATGTCCAGTATTGTTATTTTTCCTGCAGATAATTACAAGGTCAGAAAAACAAAATCAAAAATAGACACAATTTTCCCAAGCACATTTCAACAAAAATTTAGGGGAATTTAGGGGATAAGGTAGAATCAAGACAATATTCTGAATATAATCCATGACCTATCATCAATGAGCAGATTTCATGATGCCTAAGGGCAAAATTCTTGATGTGCTTCCATGCAGCTTATATTTGTTAAGTTATTTTTTTAGGCTGTGTTCCTTCAAGCACAGATTGGTTGTTTCTAATTTCCTCAATCTTTGGCATACAATGATAACATAAACTGTGAAACTGGCACCACTTCTTGTATCTTTTTATATCAAGTAAACAGTAGACATTCTCCTTTGGGGGAACTATTCTTATGACCTGCAGAAGCCCTTCTGGATAAGAAGACAATAAAAGACTCATTCAGCTTTCTCCTACTTGCTGGAAGTAATGACAATAAATATTTAAAGATTAAGATTTCCTTCCAGACATTCTGTGCTTTATCTATGAAATCCTTTTCTGTTCTATAGATCTAGTTCAGAGGTCTCCAAACCTGGCAACTTTAAGACTTGTGGACTTCAACTCCAGCTGGCTGGAGAATTCTGGGAGTTGAAGCCCACAAGTCCTAAAGTTGCCAAGTTTGGAGACTTCTAAACTAGTTTATACAGATCTCCCAATTTTTCACCTAGGTTGTAAAAATATTTGGGTGATACAGTATAGCAATTTGGCGTACAAATAGGAGTTCATATGATTCAATATGACTCTACAGAAAAAGATTTCTTCACACACAAAGCAAGCATTTTAGATAAAGAGAGAGAGATAAGGATGATTTTCTATGTGAAAGGAAGAGTGATTAGTCATGTGACTTCCCATTTAATAGTCCATAACTCTATGCATATGTATCTACTAGTCTTATTATTACAGAAAAATTAAGAAAGATAAAACATCCAACAGAGTAGTTTTTAATAGAGACTTAATATCATTTATCAATAAGCTTTAAATGTCACAGGATATATTTTTTCTATTACTTTCTACACTAAATTATAGAGTATTTTGTTTTCCAGAACTGTGAATCGATAAATTCAAAGCCTCCAATACAATAATTGGAAAATAATTTCTGATATATTTAAAACAGATAGCCTACCTTATTATGCTCATAGTTGTATGGGATTCTGAGTGTATCCATAGCTCTGATCATAGACTGTATTGCTGTAAATATATTCTGATACACGAGCTTTGTGAACCCCCTTTTGTCTTCATCAGAATATCCTGAACCATGAATGATTCTCATTTGCTTGATAAATGTACTTTTGCCACTTTCTCCTGTACCTGCAAAACATTTGAAGAGATCATCATTAGATTACAATGGTGGAGGAAAAAGCATCAGCTCCACAGCTTTACTTGCCTATTTTAAGAATTAAACTAATAAAAGAATATTAATCCTAATAATTAACTTATTTCATTTCACAATACTAGGTTAATGAATTAAATCAAACCTAAAACTTATGTTACTTAATCTTTGCCTTGTCACATGAAAAAGAAGTAATTTGCATCTAACAATTAAACATTTTATATACAGTGTAAATCTCATTTTCCAAGTGAGAATATTCTTTGTCACTAATAATCAAATAATTAACTACTTCATCACGGTACCACTAGATTATGTGATAATGAAATACAGAAAAATATCCATATCATCACGAAGTAGCTTTAGATCCCCTCAATCAATTTTAAAAGCATTTTGCTTAAAATTCTCTAACTATGTTTACACTTTAGAATTTGTTTTAATATTTTTGTTAATTTGCATTTGGAAGTATTTAGGTGCCCTTGCTCCTTTCCTATAAAGGACCCAAGTAAACGTTGTCCTTTTCTACAAGAAAACATTTTACAAACATAACAAAATGTAGAAGACACTGTACATGTGACATAACTGCAGAGGCAATGCTTCTATTTTTGTGTCACAATGAACAAGTTCATGCACTAAAAAAAAAATGAAACTCATATTCATTTCCTGATTTTACTCTAGATGTTTAAAGTAGATGCCCCAAAGGAAAACAATTCTATATATCAGCCTGCCAACCATTCAACTATTTTTTTATATCCAAGATGAAAATTAGAAAAATGAGAACATCCAAATTGTGACCAGGCAGATAGCAGGAAAAGGAAATTTATCCCTACATAATGAAATGAGTGACTTTTAACAATTTTGCAGTTTCTGTACCCTCAACATGATTTTGATATGATATGGTTTTCTATTCCTTGGAAGTTCCACATACCTGGCCACTAATACTATAGAACATGATGTTATTTTGCAAGATCTCATAAACTGTCTAATAAGGAATTATTAACCATCTTGTTTGCAGTTCAGCCAAGATGGGCCACTTATATCGTGATATAAATGGCCCATCTTGGCTGCAAACAAGAGGCAATGCTAGCTGTTGGTAGATTACAATCAGCCTTCTTCCTTATAGTGAAGGATGCTTGAATAGAATGAAGAAAGCTGGATTGTATTTGAATTTTATTTGAACACATTGCTGATTTAGAAAGAAATACAGTATAAGAGAAACTTTCTTGTGGTGGTCTAAAAAAACCACTCCAATAAATGAACTAAAAGAAAGAGTAGGTCACTCAACTTAATCAAATTTACTTTTTCATTGACAAATGTAAGAGCGCACTGTAAGACTCTCAATGTATTTGTTAAACATAAAGAGAAGATTTGGAAAATCCAATTTTAATGTTCATAGTTTATTTGAACATTAGTGAATAATATCAAGCTGGCACAATATACAATCATTTTTTTCAATTTCAGAAGTGAAAAATGGTACGATTATTTCCCATATACTGTTTTCTTTGTTCCATATTCTAAAAGTAATTTAAATCCTCAACAGATCTGGGGTTCTATTCTTTGATATATATTTTTTGCATTAAAATTCTATACCAACAGAAATCACCATATTGGCTATAAGTATAAATCCTGCAAATTGATAACTTTTGATACTGCTATATACTTTGGAATTCCAGCAAATTTTAACATTAAACTGCTATTGTAAATATTTGTAAACTGCTCAGAGACAGTGAGATGGTGGTATATAAATGTGATTAATAACATAAATAAATAAATAGTTGACCCAATATAACCCAGCTCTTTGTTTTAAGATGAAGTGAAGAGAAACTTTGATAATGTCTCTGGTCTAAAGTTCATCAACAATGAATTGCAGCAAACTTTGTACCATCTAACTAAAGATGAAGTGTCAGTAAGATAAAGGAGTTGTTGATTAACTTACTTCTTCAAGTTCATTAACAGGCATGAAAACTCTAAGTCGCCTATTACATATACAACAGCAGAAAAACTCTGTTGAACCTTTATGCTTTCTATGTGCCAGATGAAACTTGTGGAGTTCACTGAAATTGAATTTTGCTTTCCAATGGTCATACAATAAACTCAGGCTTAGTGGTCTGTCATGACCACTTCATTTCACCAATTTCATTGGATCTATTCAGACTAATCAGAGTAACAGAGTTGAACAAAAATGGCCTCAAATTTTACAGTCAACCTCCAGTCCAACCCAAGCTCTTCAGGGAAACGGATATCCAGCTCTCTTTGAAGGCCACTACTTGCCTTGCCTTCTTTCTAATGTCCAACCATTCTTAATGATTCTACTTCCCAGTAGTTTTAACCCATTATGTTAATTCTGGCCCTGGAGATAACAAAAAACAAGCCCATTCTCCTCTCTTTCTGACAATCCTTTGGATCAGGGATCTCCAACCTTGGCAACTTTAAGACTTGTGGACTTCAACTCCCAGAGTTTCTCAGCCAGCTTTGCTGAGGAACACTGGGAGTTGAAGTCCACAAGTCTTAATGTTGCCAAGGTTGGAGATCCCTGCTTTAGATATCTGAAGGCTATCTCTTCTCTTCTCTTCTCTTCTCTTCTCTTCTCTTCTCTTCTCTGCAAGCTAAACTTAATTAAACTGTTCCTCATAGGATTTCAGTTCCCTTACCAACTCAGTCCAATTTATTGATGTCCTTTCAGACTGCAGTGCCCAGAGCCGGACACAGTATTCCAAGAGGGTTTTGACCAAGGCAGTATAAATGGAACAATTACTTCCTGAGTCTATGTTCCTGTTAGTACATCCCAAAATAGCACTGACTGTTTTAACAGCCACATGATACTATGGGCCTATATTCAACTTTTCTTTGATTAGAACATTTAGATGTTTTTCATATGTAATACTCTCAAGCCAGTTCTCCTCTATCCTTTCATTTTTCCCTGTTAAACTTCATTTTGCTTGGGTTCACTGATGAAGTTTATAATGTTTTCAGAAGTAAAACTATTGTGGAAAACAAAGCAAAAGTACTACCAATAGTAATAGGCCCTTTGGGAACAATCCCAGAACATCTGAGCACCATTTGAATACTATCAGCATTGACAAAATCACCATCAGTCAATTGCTTTGCTTGAAACAGCTTATATCCTGAGACAATACTTTAATACAACAAAGAACATCTGCCTATCCCAGGTCCTTGAGGAGCTGATAGGTAGATAAAAATGCCAAAAACAATCCAAACATATGGCTGTGTGACCAACTATAATAACATTTTTTAAATTATCTGCCATCAGGGCAATGTATATGGTACTTGTCTCAATCTTCCAATCAAATTGGAAGTAAAGCCAGTAATAACTACCCTTTGGTTTTGATTATTAGTCAATAATGAATATGTAGTAATTATGATCTCTAGCTCATATTTTACCATTTTGCTCATGAAAATATTGTAAGTTTGCTGAGGTCAAAGTATACTATATTCATGGCATTTCCTTGATCTAATAATTCTTTTGAAGAAAAATGTTATTTTGCCAGGACTTCCTTGTGCTCTTATTAACTTTGCATTCTTTTCTAAGTGTTCATAAACTTGATGCTTAATAATCTGCTGAAGGACCTTGTCCTGTGCAGCTATCAAACTGATAGGTCTGTAATTTTCTGCATTGTCCTCCTTTCTCTCTCTCTCTCTTTTTTTAATACAGAGGCAACATTTATATTCCTCCATTCTTCTGAAACCTTAGTAGTTCGTCACTAGTTGTCACAGAATAGTAAGCAATATTATACTTCACTACTCTGGATTGTACTCAGTTTATATTTCAAAGGCCAAATTATTTCATTGTTTAGATTACAATTAACATAGCAGGTAGTACTTATTATACATATTTTATCAAGAACAAGTTAAATGTAGTAGGGTGTAGAGGAATGTGGAAATAACCTAGATATAAATATGCAGATATGCACTAAGGGAGGAGGATAAAATAAAACTTAGTCTTGGAAAGGGAAAGTGTGAGAAAGAAACTCAAAATAATGCCACTTGATTCTGTTGCTATGAAAGGATTCAAAGGCAGGCTTTCATAATTAAGTTGTCATGCTATGCAATAAAATAGTATTCCTCTGATCCTTGTTTCTGTGATTTGATCTACTTTGAAGGACAGCTATTGAGCTGATGTGAATCCTAATCACGTCTTATTTTCCCTAATATTTTTCACCTGGTCAACGGCTAATATCAGCATTTTCATTCCCACTGAAGTTAACATTTATAGTGGAGGGAAGAAAGCCATATAAGGACACAGATGTTGCACCATCAATTTTCCCCAAGAGAACTCAATTGTCTAAATCTAAAATGTGTATCAATTCACATCATGCCCACAATTTTTATGTACAGGCGCCTCCACTTACAACCATTCATTTAGTGACCATTTGAAATTACAGTGGCACTGAAAAAAGTGACAGGACCATTTTTCACACTTACAACCATTGCAGCATCCCCATGTAACCAAAATTGGGATGCTGTAAATTACCTCATATTCATGTAATCACCTTCTGACAATCAAAGTCAATGTGGAAGCCAGATTCGTTTAACAACCACATTGCTAACTTAAGAACTGCAGTGATTCATTTAACAACTGTGACAAGAAAGGTCATAAAATGGGGCAAAACTTATTTAACTATTGTCTCACTTAGCAATAGAAGCTTTGGGGCATCTCCTTACCTAAACAAAAAAACAGAATGACCAAAGATGAGCAACCCCCCCCCCCCCCCCCCAAAAAAAAAAAACAGTGGGAACAGAAGCAATTTCCAATTTCCTAATGGCTTCCCCACTGACTTTTCTTGAGGAAATCTGGCAGGAAACATTGGAAAATTCTTTCTTTCCTTTCCTTTCTCTTCCCTTTCTAGCAGACAGGTAAGTGGTGGCTGCTGGATGGGGGAGGGAGCCCAGAATTGAGAGACTGGTTGGGAAACTGTCATGGAGCACTGTAAATGAGATCATGTGACCAGTTTAGCAGTGT